TCAAATAAGCTCTAAGTTCTTAAGACATCTCGAGATCATAACTTTATTCTAGACATGAAACGAAGCTACTCGTTCTCGTTCTCGCCTTCGATTTTACGTTAATACAGTCGCGAGCGAGCAGGGATCTTAGAAGAAAGAAATGTTTAGCGCATAGCCATAAAGCACGCGGCTCCGTGGCGTGAGAAAACGGCCCGGGCATTTTTAACGCTTTGCCGGTGTAACCGTTGCGTCGAGACGTATAGAGTCCGCGCATACTCACGCGGGGAAGGTGGCCGCGGCAGGAAGGAAGAAAAACGAGGAAGAAACGGCCACGGAGCCAAACGTAGGGAAGCCCCAAGGAGGAAGACAGAAACGCGCGCGCGCGCTCGCGCGCGCACGTATATTAGCCACAGCACGGCGAAAAACGCGAGGCTATTAATTCAGAGCCGGTGGACACCGGTCAGCGCCGGCAAAGGAACAAAATGAGCGCCCTTGGGTCAGGCCCTAAATAAAACGAAAGAAGGAACGTTTAAATAAAAGTAAACTCGTGTCGCGCCGTAGCCCGTCCGCCGCGTGCTCAGCTTCCCTCAAACCGAGAAACGAGGGACTTTCGTGGAGAAAAGTTACCTCGAAAGTGCGTCGGTTCAGCGCCGCACCACGCGCTCCCTCGCGAGAAACCTGTCCGGGGAATCGAGATCGACCTTGCGCCGCGCGCGATTGCGAGCTTTAACGCTCTTACCCTCCGTTATCTGACGATCGTGGAGAACGCGAGCAAAGCGACGCGGAGAGGACGCACGTTTTTCGACTCTTCCCTCTCCCTAACGGTGCATTCGCCTGGATCTTTACCCGAAGGAAAGAATGCTTAGTTTCGCTCGTTTCTCGTTTCATTCGATATTTGACGAAATGGAGTTGTCACAGATCAGTTTGATAATTAAAAAATCTGCATAGTACGCGAATATGATAATGAACCGCTATCAATGGCAAACGTTTATTAACTCTTAACACTAAATCTACCATTAAATTCATTTACAGACAGTAGAAAGAAGACGTATTTAGTCGCATTACTAAAATTGTAATTATTATTTGAACTGGTATCAAATTGAACTCCAATACTAAATTGCAGTCAAATGTAAAAAGTATAAATATAGCACATTAGTGTACGAGAACTGTCGGTACGCTTAGTGTTAAGTAAAAGTGATTTGTATCCACGGTCGGGTCGGGCCGCGGTGCACCTTCTTTCTGGAGGACGTCCAACTACTGTGTCTCCTGGTTCCCGACGGCGTTCAGAAATTTCTCTTCACTAGCCCTCACCGTATCAGCGATCTACGTCGTTTAGATGCAGTTAGATCTCCGGTCCTCTCATTAGCATATTCTCGGCTCGTATAATTTACCGCATGATAAACAGTTTAAGTAGGTAAGCAGCCGTGATAGCTCATAGTCGTCCCAGCATTCCTCTCAATGTCGGTTAAGTAATGCCAACCATTACTTATTATTTATCGCCCCGGCGCGATTATCGGTTTAGAACAGAATGCCGCCACCCGATAAGATGCAGTAGACTATATCTCCTGCGATAATGTTTCTGTTGCAAAATGTCCCAACGGGTAGTTCACTTTGATGAAGAATGACTATTCGAACGAATGGATACATGCAAACACACTTCTATCACCTTTTCAAAAACCTGTTTACAAGGTATTTGTATCGTTTTATAATCATTTCTCTAATTTCAAAAGTAACTTCTACCATTTTTATACTGTCACATAAAAATATTTAATATGGCATTAAAAAGATTATGGACAGAGTAGTGCACTTTGTCACTACAAAAGAAGTTGATAAAATGATAGAGTTATTATTATTGAATCAAGGGATTTAAAAGTCGTTTATTAAAGCACCACAAAATTAATTATTACCTCGGGCAATGAAACGTAGGCCATGATTTTTGTTATAGAAGTGAAGATCGAATAGAGGCATGGCCATCTAAATTCCGGGACTCAGGTTGGATAACCTCAGACGTGCGGTTAGATATGAGAGATTCGTTAAAGGGATTTTTTTATTGTCACGCTCGAGCGGCAGGCAGATATCTCGCGAACAAATTGCGAGCGTGCGTCGATGAAACGGCAATCGCTTGTCAGTGAGACGTTACGCGCGGCGTATTTGGGCAAACAATGAGCGGAATGATTCGGAAGACGCATTGCCGGAGAATTCGAAAGAAATTCCTCGATCCGGGCATTGCTACGTTTTTTTCTGTGAAGAAGCTCGATCGACTAAGAACCGTTTTAGGGACATCAAACAACATCCTATTTTTTCTTATGTCCCTCGTTGAAAATTAGAAATTTAGATTTAAAACGGTTTGGAAATATTTCAGAATTTCTGACGTTCACGATTTATTTATTTCTACGCGAATCGTTGAAAAACACGTTGGAAATAAATTGATGGAAAAGAGTAAATAAGGAAGAGAGTATTCGACGTCCCACGGTGCACGGTCGAGTTCACGGGAGGGCAAAAAGCACGGCTGACCTCCGAGCAGACATATTAAAATGATGCAGCGTGGTAGGATCCCCGGAATGAAACTCGCAGAAACTTCGGTCCCTTGTCTTGCCTGGCAAACTATTTCAGGACGCCGCGGCTAAAAGCGAGAATTCGTGGACTCCGCGTAAAGTAAAACAGAGACCAGAAGCTCCTTGAATTGTTTACAAACATGTAATTGTAATGGGGCCGGCTTTGCTGGCCGACGACTGACGAAAGAAACTACGCTTAACCCTTTTATCCCAAGATGCTTTCAAATTCCGTTCCGTTCTCGGATATTTGTTCTCTAAACTGCTCTGTTTACAAATTTTGAAGCTACGAGCTATGTAATAATTATACATTCATGTGTAATTCATGGGCAATTAGTTTCACGTTTGCATTTGTAACATTCTTCATGCAATTGAAACGTGAATTTAACTATAATAACTGAATTCGTTCATACATCCCTTTGTTACAAAGTCTGTTACAATTTCACAAATAATGCTAGCAAAACATGAATCCTTGAACGAAATTGAAACACATCAGCCAATAAATATAAATTATGCAGAAACTAATCAAGATTTACAAAATAAACGTTCGAATGTTCAAATCGCAATTTTAAGTTGTTCACTGACTGATTTGACTGACATGACTGACATGACTGACATGACTCATTCTTTTCTTATGATGAATGATTTCTGAATGATTAAGATTTTAACTAGCTTCTCTGACGATGGAGTCCGGAAAAGTTTTTCGCAAGAAAAGTTTCGCATCACCCGATCGGCCCATGGATTACCTGCCGATTCGAGGTTCGCTGGAACGGGACAAACTAGTTCCTCCAGTTTCGAAACAAACTCAACTAATTCGAATCCAGCGTCGACACGACGACGCTTAGAGCGTTTAAAGTATCGGAACAAATACTGGCGGGGTGTCATAATCCAAGGCGAGACCTGTTCAACGGGATTTCAACACTCGCGATATCCTCGATCACCCGCGGTATCAAACAGAAAAAGACCTATCTACTGTACCATCTATACAAATTATTATAACTGACTAATGCACGATTTAAAGCTCAACTCGATACTTTAATTAAGTGAAGTATATGAAACAATTTCCAATATCTACATCACATTTTATGGTTAATCAGTAATAAACTTTAGATCAAATTTCGTTTTAAACTTATTATTAAGTTGTATTGAAATAAATTTAATTAAAGAAGAATCCACTATTAAAAGAACAATTTTGTTGCCCTTCACTCGGTGTAAGAAACAGATTGTTTATCCCAGAAAATTGCCAGCATCAGAGAAACTGAAGTCGTTCAACGAAACTTATCATGCCTGAACCTCTATAAATCTTGTTTATAAAAAGAATACATCGATGAAACAAAAATCACGTGTGGACCAGAGGGAACGTCCGCGTTCGCGAGAATATTACGTAACCCCTGTACCTCGTTCTACTGTTATGGAAGCAAACGAATTGGGAATCGGCAAGGCGCGTTGCGGCGGCGGCGGCGACGGCGACGAGCCAGTCGACACTGGCTAACTGTCGTCCTTTTTCAAGTGGCGGGTTTGTCGCGTCATACTGAAACGCACGAGTAGCTTGTAATCTCGAGACGAGACAAGCAGCGAGATACACGCTGCGTATATGACAGCACGCAAGCTTATGAATAATGTGTCGGGGACGGAATCCTGACGAGTCGTTGACATCTAAATTTCCGACCGGAGCCCAACAACCTCCATGCGACTCGCCCTCGTTAAACGCTTCGTTTATCCAACGAGTTAACATAGTGTTTTTATTTTTCACCTCGTCACAATATGTATATATGTATGTATGTATTTAGCTGCAAATTCGTGCAGCCAATTACTCGCAAAGAATAAACGTCACGTGGTACTTTTGCGGGTAAATGCGAGTGTTCGCAACTAGCTCAAACATGCCAGCTTTTCGCGAGTATTCGCAGAATGATCGTCACGTTGAATTGTGACGCCCTGAAGGCAAGTCAATTTTCTATTCGCAGTTGCGTTTGCGTGCAGCCAATAATTCGCAGCGAGTAGCGAGTCTATTCGTTTCAGTCGCTTTTCGCATCTTTTGGCTCGGACGCTAATATAATCACGATCTTTTTTTTAAAAACCTTTTACATACAATAGGTTTGTAAAAGGAAAATTTATTTAATCAGTAGTCCCTGTGTTCCAATATTTTGCAAATCATTGTAAGAATTGTAACAGCTTTTAGATCACAGAAAGTAGACATTTGATTTTCTCAACTTCAGATTCTCAGACTTCAATCTTTAGTGTATCCAGTATTTTTAACTCTTTCTTCATCTAACTTACATATACTATCTCTTATGTTAATATGCTAAATTATCTGTTTTCGACTTTCAATTCTACAAAACTACACCCTATCAAGAATTTATCCCAAATTGTCAACTGTTTTATTTCTTCTAAAATCCAGTTCCTTCAGTATTTACACTTGTAAGGAACCATAGTTTTAAGAAATGGTACATAAAGAGTAGATCGACTTACCCTGTCGTACTGATGCGTCGCGGTGGCCGCCGAGAAAGATTGAAACGGCGCCGTCCTCGCTGGGCTGTGGTGGGCCGCATGCGGATTCGCGTGGGGGTGGGTGTGCGGGGCCGCATGAGGGTGGCTCGGATGCGGCGGCGGCGCTGGCCTCTGGTAGATGTAAGGATAATATTGATACATCACCTCGGAACAGCTCATCACCCCGCCCGGGCCCGGCACCCCAGAGCCGGCCTGCCGACTTGCGTACCCGAACGTCGCACCACCCGTTCGTACACTATCCCTTTTTTCCACTTCTCCTCACCTTATCCCACCTCACGTTTACCGGCAACCTCACTCGGTCTCGTCTTTCGAATCGCGAAATGCGCGAGAAAACAGGGCGCAGCGGAACGAACGACTCGCGAATGTGTCAAGCCGTTTCGAGCATCTTCACTCTTCCGCGGTTCGCCGGCGAATGACGAATGTCACTTTCGTTTCGATTCTCGGAACGTTGCGTGGTTTTTACGATTGAAAAAAAATTCTCGATGTTACTGTTTTTTTAACATGTTATTACAAACTGCAGGGGTCAGTTTTAGCGAACGCGCGTGTTTTTATTGTTTCGCGAAGAACGGCGTTTGTGTACTTCGAATGGCCTGCACGTTTGTCAACGCGGTAATTGAAAACACACTCGCTCGGTCACCGTGATAGAGAAACTATGTTACGTACTACGAGTCACGTTTAACATTGAACATACACACTTCCATGTCTCTTCGTTCGCACAATTTAGGTACTGCAATATTCACAGTTCTTCAAGTCCACGTGGCTCACAGTCAAAGTTATCCCGCCGTTCCGCGAATCGTTTTTTTACAACGACCGAACATCCACACGTATATGTCTACGCAGTTCGTTGAAATTACATAATAGAAATCGTTTACGTTCCTCTAGATTTTTAACTGAGACTGGTAACTCCGTAACAGTTCGAGTTTCAGGAACGGAACACGAAATATAACTACAGAAAACACTTGGAAACTTGTTTTACGTCAGAACCACTAAGAATATCCAACAATAGTAATCCTGTTAGTAATGTCAAACTGTCATCGTCACCGGCTGTAGAGAATCCAGAGACACCATTCGTTTCGGGGCTCGTTAATGCGTTGAGTAATTGAAGATCTCGATACGGGAGCACCTGGTTCCTCCGCAAGGAATCTACCCTCGCGTCGAAGAGAGACGTAACCGGACCGTATCGTGGTTGGTGATGTGTCTCTGATGGGCGAACACAGACTGAACCCCCCGGCGTCGTGTCACCCTCGCCGTCGGACCGGTCCGCCGTCTTTTTCCAACTGGCCCGCGCCGCGGCGCTCCGTCTTTTTCGCTTGCCGCGTGTCCTCTCCTTCCACGGCGAGGGTCAGGCCCCGGGTTCCCTCTTTCGTTCACCCCGACAGAGAGGCAAACGTCGAGGGAACCGCCTCCTGGTAGCACCGCAACCGTCCAATCACCATCCGGGAACGGCACGTCCAATGAGGCGACGGTTGCCACTCCTACGCTTGGTCGTCTGTGTATTGATCCCACAATGAACCCGACTGCCGTCGACGGTATGTATTAAGAAGTTCCTACTCGGGTTAAACCATCCCTCTCCTCCTCATTCTCCTCCTACACAATCCTCCTCCGCCGGCTCGTCGCAGACCTTTCCTCTTGGCACAACCTCGACCAGCACCTTCTTCTCTCACTTTTCCCGTCTCTTCTCTCTCCGATTCTCTTCTCTTCTCTTTATACTTCACTCTCTCTCTCTCTCTCGCTCTCTCTGTCTCTCCGTTCGCTTGTCCGTCCGTCCGTTCGTCTCTGTTCGTTAGCTCGGTTCGCCACCCTTTCGCCGCTTCCAACCCCAAACCCGGACGAAAGCAGCCAGGCCGCACGCATAATGAGTCTTAATTAACAGTTTCGCGGTGTTCTGGGAAGCTTAATTTGCCGTGAGTCTCTAGGAAAAGACGGGAACCTCCCGCGAGGCCGGCTCCTTATCAGGGAATTTTCTGTGTTAAGAAAATCGGATTCGACGCATCGATTTGTGAGCGAGATTCGGGACGAGGATCGGGATCAATAATGTAGGCGATGGTTTGGGAGTGATGATTCTGAAACATACAAATTCACGCGTGGTTAACCGGATGGAGATATTATACAAGGGAAATGGTTTTAAGGACAGGAGATCGTTTTTAACTTAACATTCAAAGTGTTAATTAATACACTTGACACTCCTTTTACAGTGCGTTTTTTTATACAATTTCAAAATCGGTTTCATTAATACTATTCAGAACTGTACGATATTTTTAAAACAATTTGTTGATACTTGTACGATTTTTCATGCTTCGTTTTACAGACAGAAGATTCAGGACTCTTCTTTTTCTCAGGAAATCTCAGGTCTCAATTTGTTAAGCGAGAAATAGTTGTAAGAAATTATTACAACAAGTAAAATGTGATTGAATTGATACAGGAGATACTTCCGATCGATGAAAGTGATTTTTCATCAGTAAGAAAACGAGTTTGTCATAATTGTGTAGTAGAAAGTGACGATAATTAACGTTCTCTTTATAACAGAGTGCCTAAAGAACAAGTAAACTTATCATTCCTATTTATTATTATATTTCTGTTAATCAGTATTTGTATTAATTTTTTTTACACGATTTCCTTTTTCTCGGTGTACTTCAAATGCAATTTTTACGTATAAAAGAAGAGTCAGATGTAGTTCTAATTAATTACATAAGATTTCACGTGAATTTGCAAATGAAAGCTCGAAACACCCCTCGTTAAAAATACCAACTACAGATTTCCTAGTGTAACAAATCGACAGTACAATGACACTCGGATCGTAACGTAAGAGCAAACAAAACGTCAGGAGACACTTGACCGCGTCGAATCTCGTCGCAGTCGCCGGCTAATCTCGCGTGTTAACGCGGCAGGTTCCTTGCAAAGCGACCCATAGGGCAAATCCAATAAACCCCGGACAAGTGTGACACGATGCGTAGACCTTTTTTTTTTCACGTTCGTACGTATCTCTCCGAGCCGACGATCAAACGTTTCCTCGCGGAACAGTCATACTGCACGTGGCCACTCGAACAATGCACCGCACCCCGCTGCTAATAGTCGGGCATTAAATTCGTCGGTGATATTGCCGAACGGGGTCGGGGTCCCCCATCGGATATCCCCTGAATAGGACGAGAGGTCTGAAATATGCTTCTTCGCGCGTCACTCAGGGGGATGATGCGTGCCCGCTGGCCGACGATAGACAATATTATCATCCCCAACCATGGGGTCCTATGGTTTTCCCAGCCGGCCTCTTTGAACAGGTCCTTCGGAAAAGAACTCGACGATGATTATCGGTGTGCAATGAACGTTGTAATAACTCGTAATTTAGGTTGTCAAGCATTCGTGGGGTAAGTTATTGGAAATGGTATTAAACTCGATTGAATGATTCGAGTGGCTTTTAACGGTTTGTAGTGCTTTTTTTATCGGCGCACGCTAAATGGATGAACAATTTTTTTAAACGGATGTATGGGATTAATTTCATTTAAATATTTCGTACACGAAACATTTCTGTGATTGAAAGATCAATGTTAGCACTTTCTGTACCGTGACCAAAATTCTATCGTCCAGCTGATCTTATTAATTGTCTAACTTCTCTTTAATACAGTAAAAAATATTGAAAGCAATTACAGTATTTAATTAGCGTTTCAGTCGTGTTCAACCGGAGGTAAAATAATGCAATTTAAACGAGTTCTTATTCTGGGCTGTGAGGTATATAAAAGCTTGAAGCAGTTTTTGTTAACCGTCCATTGAGGTATCTGCTACGATGTAACTATCGGGTCGGATCATTACGAATTCGACGCACGAACGCGGCATGATTATGCCGCGGGGATTATATTTCAAATGCACTTATGCAGCCATTGTGTTAAATATGGATCTTTGAAGTGGTTGCCGCATACCCGTTGTGCAATCCTCGCCGATGTGGAAACCGTTGCACTTCTGTCACTTGCAGTGCAAATAGCGCGTTCTATTAGTCAGTAGCAATTCATTATTTGAGAAACAATCGGTTTTGCAATACAGGGGCAATTAACGCGGGTCTAAATTTAGAATATCCTGTCATACGATAAATTGCTTTGACAATTTATGTCAACAGGAGGCAGTTACATACGTGTAATAAATAACACATATTTTCTAAATAGTTGTTTTTGTTCTAATTCTTGTTAATGTATTTCTGTAATAAAATTTTACGATTCTCTTTTAATTCTTTGTCCAACTGCTTTTCTATTCCTTTCCTCTTATCTCCATTCGAATAATTTCGCAGAGCAAATTGAATTGGCAGAATGAGGATTTAAAAGAAACTAGTTGTAAATAAAAATTGCCTCTATGGATCATACAGGTAATTCGATAGAAACAATGGGTCATTATTAAATAGATTAAGTTGGTCGGCAGGACCGAGAACGAAGCTGCAAGAATGGATCTGCGTGACATTCAGAGCGGACGAGGACAAAGCGTTGGAACGAGGGTAAGAACGAAGCAAGAAGTAGGCGAAAGAGAGACGGCAGATCTCTTGGAATCCCCTAATTTGCTATTTCAGCATTCCGACCGATCCCGCGTGTTCAACTGGATTCGTGGGACCACGCTCGTGAGAGGCTGTTGCCGATCTATCAAAAAACGCGATTCCGTCGGCTCTTCTTCTGTCGCCGAACCGCGAAACCACGGCGAGATCAGGCTCGCGCTCGTCGATGGGAACCGACTGGGTTCGAATCTATCATGGAAACCCTTCAAACGGATGGAATTTCTCGTTGACGTCGCGTTTGGAGACCGCCGCGAGTCACGAGCTGTGATCTCCCTGAAGCCGAGATTAGAGTTACAGGGAATGAAAATGAAAGGCGATCGAGTGATAGAATAGCGCTAGAAATTCGTCATATTTTTTATTTCTTAATACAAAATATAATTTTCTATAAACTGCTGTCTTTTATAGTTCAGATAACAAGCCTTAAATAATCGTAGAATGTATCTGAAGCAAAGTTAAGCTTCAGCTAACTGTGGTAACATAAGATGGCACAGACGGGTAATCAATGAATAAAGATGTTACACAGAAAATTAGTCTCATTTATTTCATCTCATCTGTTTGTGAGTAACGGCGGAACTAATACAGAAGTACTTGGGTCTTCAACAATGAGAATTACAAGCCGCCTTGTAATCTACAAATAAAGTTCTCGCTAATCCTGATCGTCAATGTTACTCTTATTTCCGTTTCAGAGATTTGTCTCTTTTCATGCTTATAGCGCGAGAAATTCTTCGCCACTGGTATTTCTGTTATTTCATTCGTTATTTCAAAGCGCCTTCTCTTTATCTACGGAATCCGACGACGAATCCGTACCATCCGCGGCTTCTGCTTTTGCATTTTCCATATTGTTCGTCGATCCCGACGTTTTCGGTATCTTAGCTTCTTTTACTGTACCTTCGGCCGGTTCCGTTTTCCCTTTAGCCGCAATCCGTCTCTCTAATTTTTGTTCTTCCAGCTTTTTGTTCCTCACGGCTTCCTGCTTCTTTTCCTCTTCCTCATCTTCCAGGTACTTGTCCCATTTGGCAATTCTGGCCTCGATTTCCGCGTCGGTTTCCAAAACCCTATAGAAGAAAATAATTCGCTGTGCATCGAGTCATCACCGAAATGATCAGCAACTGGTAAGCTTCTTTGGAATCGCAATCTCTTTACATCCACAGTCCAAGCAAAATAATTAACTAAATTTCATCTAAGCATAACAATTATTTAACAAGAATTTGAAAAATCCAAAAAAATTGATATAATACTCGAAGCTATAATAAATCATCAAACAATAAAAATATATTTCTATAATGTTCCAAGATTAAAGAATTAAACATGAAATCAATCAAGTGGTCCAATCAAATTATTAAATTAAAAATCCAAATATCGAATGCATAAGGATTCCTATATTTTCTACAGAGTTCATGCCGATAAGCCAGAGCGAAGCGACCGAGGAATGGTTCTACCAGGAAGAGAGCGGATCGCTCGATGGATGGTTAACTATCGGCTAAGCCTGGGTCGGTAAAACCGGCAACGGAGAGGAAACGCGACGGGTAAGCTTACTTGTATTTCGTCTTGCCGTCCCATATTTCAGCCGATATTTTCCTCTGGCTGAACCAGCGACCGTTCAATAATTGAATACAAGCTTGTGCCTCGGCTGGTTCACGGAATGTTACTTGTGCAACACCCTCAGGATGTCTCTGCAAGAATAGAACCACAACCCAAATCTAAGATGTACCATCCACTGCAACTTTCGATTACCACTCATTCATTTCATTCGCGTGCCCTGCCTTTTGTATTTTGAACGAATTGTCTCTGAAATATTTGCCTCATCATATTTCCGTCGAATTTGCATTAAATAACTTCCTATTGTCATTCTCGTGTCACATCCAGTGATTCGCAATAAGATTACAAGCATGATTTGAATCAAGACTATTAGATACAGAAACAACATGCAATTACTATAGATATTTTAAATATGCAATGCTTATTCTTCAGTAATTCTTTGATTGCCACTTAGCTAATAATACAGAAAGTAGTACTTCTGGGCAGACATTTAAAGAAACTCTATTATTTCTTTCCTTTTGGCAATGCCTTTTTCATGATGGACTGCTTAAAAATTCTCGTACTTATATAAATTTGCAAAAACCAATTTTTACTTAACGGAGTATGAAAAATACAAACAAATGGTAATAATATGCGGCTGTGGGGTGAAACAAAAGAAGCAAGTTCATATCCTTCAAACATCTCGCAGACTCTACACGTCAGTGATTACGGGTTAAGGCTGGCGAGTCTGTCGACCCACAATTCTCCCCACAGTCCTTTCCTCGTCTCACACTAAAACCGCAATTTACGAGCCTTCGGTTTGAACATTAACTTCACTGCCTGACCCCGTGCGCGACATGAAACTCTTTATTCCTTCACACGTTACGCCTTGTTACATTAATCGGATGCCTCCTGTTCATTATTTTTTCCATTTGCACGATGAACGTACACAAGACTATTTATATTCATGAAATACAATCATGACAGATTGCGAAAATATGACATATTGTGAGGAAATTATTCTAAGGAAAAAGCTTATGCATATACATACGTACAGTGAGTACTTATGAATATTTAAACGGTACTTATGTTAGTTAAAAAACCAAAGAATTTTCAATACATTCGATCGAGAAGAACAAAAAGCTTAGCGGTATGCAGCACTAGAAGAATAATTATAAAACGAAGAAACATTGTACAAAAAATTCGTCATCAGTCACACGATTCTCATCGTAAAACCAAAAATTAAGCTTGAAGCAAACGGGAGTGAGAATGAAGGCAGCAAAAAGCCGAAGGGTGCTGGTCAGACAAAAAACGTGGGTAACCGGAAATTACGCCGAAACGATATTCTGGGAATGGCCATAAGTCAACGATCGCCATAAAACGCGCGGTTTGTTCGTGAATTCGACCCCTAAGAGGATCGATTTTCTGACCGACTTTTTACCAAGTTAGGCGAACTGCAATCAAGATCAATCCGGGAAATACAAAACGGTCAATATTGAGGATAGATTGATATTTCCTGTGGCACACGCCGCTTTTGATCTCGTTTCTCGCTGGATGTTAACCACGGGGCCCCGTGGTGGAGCACGGAATTCACGTTGACATTGAATGGATTCACGGTCGAGACGCGCCGACTGGGTGTGTCTCGTTGCGAATTTATGGGGTTAGGTCATCCCCTTTCGAAAGTTTATTTGCGTCGCCCGTGAAGGACCGACTTCTTTGTAATCGCCGTCGCCTCGTTCTCCGGCGCATCCCAGCCTGGCTTGTCTCGACCCATTGTGCCCGGGCCTTCCGTTGCCAAGATCGATCCCAACGATTGTCCCTGTCCGCTTCCTCGTTCGAAGTGAATTTATGGCGTGAAACTCGATTAAGTCCAGAAATATTGAAGCAATGGATTCACACCTCAGGCATCCTTTCCCTCAGGGATATTTGTTGAGAGACTTTAATATTGTATCTCGTGTGGTGTGCGATAGTATTTTAATTCGAGAGCTTCAGAGATGAAGACGGTGTGCAATGACGATTCAGAATGAAAGCGTATGACAGAATATGTATGTCGAATCTTGACGTTTATATTTGATTTTATTTGACGATTGACAACTTATTGTGTGCATAAGAGATGAAGAGAAAGTACGGTTAACGGGGATAACGGAGTCGCTTTCAAATCCGTCATGATTCACAGTAGCAACCGAATTATGTACAACAAACCACGCGCGTTAGTTTGAAATTTAAATGAAACACTGTAAACACTGGATATTCTTAAACGTTTAGGTATTACAGTCATTAATTAGAATAAAGTTTTCACTCGGCAAATACAACTACCTGGTTTTAATTAAAATTAATGACAGACTTACACATGTTAAATAAATGACAGCCTTAGAAATTGTAATTATAAAGGCATAAAGCAATATTGTAAAAAGTATTTTATTTATTTCATACGATTTAAATAAAGCATTTCGAAATATTCTAAACTCTATAAAATAATTTGTAATATTTTTTAATGAGCTTTATTTGTGTTTTTTTTTTTAATTACTAATTAAAATGTAAATGTTCTACTTACGTCATAAATAATAACCTTCCGAACGTCTCCGCATTTTAAACACTCGGACCTGATATCTTGTTGATATTCGAGCAACAACGAGACCTCTTTGTCAAAGTCCTCCGGGGAAAATAGATTCTTTATGATAACCACCTTTTCGTGTTTCAGCGGTTCTCCCAGTGGGCGTTCCGGCCTCCAATCAAACAATCTGCAACAGGCAATTAATACCATATATAGTATAAAAAATAATGTAACATAGTCCATAAACTTAAAAAAAAAGAACTTTTAAGATTACCTATTGTACATATGTGAATAGCTTACAGGGTCATTGGTATTGTTTCTATTATTCTCACGTAAAACCATTACCAGGATAAAATAAAAAAAATTCATGAAACAGCATGTAGATTACGCATTTGCATTTAAAATAAAGATATGAAGTTTCAAATAAACATTGCACGTGGACAAATGTGGTAACAATTGAAATGTGGAAACATAAAATACACAATAGGATGTAAAAATAGATATTCATGTACTTTTGTGTTTTACAAAAGAATCTGAACTCACAATTTTACCCTAAAAATAGACACAGAGTTTCTTGGAACATTATACATTAAGAGATAGGTTTTATATATTGCAGATATCATTTGAGTTCACAATTTAAAAATATTGTGATTTGAAACGAGAACTAAATGACATATTCCTGTTCGTAGGATAAAGAGAAACTCCTGTTGTAGATACACTGGATATAAAACGACAATGGATCAATTTCCTGTTCAGGTCTTGCATGATACGCACAGATCTTGCTTTATCCTCTCATAACTACACGGCTCAGAGTTTACCAGCCCGAGTAATGAACCGTAACGTTTTGCGGCTTCGTGTGTGGTAAACTCCCAACGAGTTCTGGTATTATGGGAAGTCTTAACACATTTGTTCGACATCGCATTCCGACCGAATCATTTAACCCTTCCTTTCAGTAATGGAAAATATTCAGTTCAACTTCGATCAAGTGACAAGTCTCAGATTATAATAGTTTGTACAGCCACATGACTATGCTATGAGTTTATATGTTATTACAGCCATTTTTTTTCAATGTGGATCAGTTATTGAAATGTTTCAGTATCAGAGAGTGTTACAGAGTGTACAGAAAGTTTTAGTGCAAATGTTATTCAAATATTTAATGCCTGACAACCTGCATTCTAAATCTGTCCTCGACCATTACTGTTTGAATTGCTGGCTTTCAGAAATAACTTGAAAATACTGTTTGTAACAATTTTATGGAATGCAACATTCGTTTACGAAATATGAGACCGACGTGTTAGACATCGTTTCGAAGCTTAACATTTAAAATTACAGTAACATTTCCGTTGGATATATAAATCCTGTGACAACAGTTTAAAAAGTTTTGTAAATCACTTAGCAGTTTCTCGACAATGCTTCAGAGAACTCATTGAAAATTTTTCTGCTCAAGGAAACTTCAACTGCGTGACACACTTCGCAACACTGTCACAATCATTTGCACGGTGAGTAAGAGCGGAAAATGGAAGTCAAACGTGATATGCAGTATCTATTATAATATGTATAAATCATTTCTCTGATAGATTGCATACAACTTTAGCCAATTAATATAATTATATCTGTCCGCGTAATTACAAATTACGCGTATGAACATACATATATGTATATTACCTATTCATTGAGTTACGACATTTGACCACAATTAGTTAGGGTTGGCCCTCACTCCCGTGCTCAATTAACCTAATTTCCGTTTAGTTTAAATCAGATAAAATTAATTGAAACGGTGCGCTATTGCCGCCGAAAGGCCTCCTCAGAACGTCATTAACAATCACGCGTCACACCTAATTAAACAAGTGTGAAACGTACAATCATGTCGATAGTAAAAACTAGCCGCTTGCATAAAATCAAGAGCCGGCCGAGGGAACGTATTAGCCCGGGCTGTCTCCGGGGTTTATTGAACCAGTAAAGCGCGTGCAGCCAAGTCAGTCACTAAATATGATAACTCTTGCGCTGTGTAAAATCACGTTGATAAATGAACATGCGTGGAATACCATGCGGCCGTGTATTTTACTAGGTGCGCGTAATAAATCTCTGCTACTGGAAGGACATTCTTCGAATAGATTTACAGCATTCGTCTGACGAGTCATTTCCCTCGTATTTCCATTTTTTTTTTCTCCTCTTTAGTCAGTAATTGGAAACGATATTCATGGAAAAATTATTCATTCGTATATGGATTCGAATTTTTACGTATTACTTTCGTCGTGGATTGATGCCTATCGATGACCCAAATGACGCAAAGCCACTGTGTGACAGTCATCGATGATCCCACCGAGCGTTAAGCAATCTTAATATAGTTTCACGTAACGGTTTATGTAATGAATGAATCATCCACGTATACACACACGGAGTTCTTTTACATATATGTATAAATTGAGAGCAGAGTCTTTTTATGGAAACAATTTTATCTTGATGAAAGCGCGCTTATAAATTTATTTTCAGTTATAAAAGCTAGTTACTGTGATTAATTTATTGCTTCGGACAAATGTTTACGATCACGATACGTTGCCTAAAATATGCGCCATCACGCTAATTTGCGAATGATGTCATTGCGGAATTTCGATTGCCTCGTCACGCATGCCCGCTATTCATACCATTGTTCCTGTCGCTTATTAAATTTATTAAACGCTTTATGCAAATGTCTAATGACACATAAGCTATTTTAGATTGTATTAGAAATCGATAATGAGAATTTGTCAAATATTTAATCTACCAAAAAATTAAATCTGTTTAGCAAACAATTTTCGATTAATTTGTCCTCGTCACTTTTATTTAATGAAAGTGCTTATTCATTTTGTCTAATAAAATATAAGCCATTTTAGATTGCATTAGAAATCCATAATGAGAATTTGTCGAATGTTTATTGTGCTAAAAAATTTAATATCTTTAGTAAACAATTTTCGATTAATTTGGCCTTGTCATTTTTGTCTTTGTGCTTTCTATTAAAACTTCAGTACCAGTCGTATTGAACCAGTATTGTTTGTCAAAACTTTGACGTCAATGTTTCAGAGAGCTACTCAAAATCAATCGCCGAAATTAAAAGAGAGCTACTCAAAATCAATTCCCGGATGAAATTCTTCACGATTTCACAATTATTTTGATTATAGAAANACAGTTCTTAAATCATTATTATTGATCATTCTTCACATTATAAAATTCAATTGATTTCCCTTATTACTATCCTAAAACTTAAATGATTACATTGAAAGAAAAGCAAAGCAATTTGAAACTAGGAATAAGAAATCTCGTAAACCAAAGTAAATCGGAGTACGTTCTGTATTATTAGACCCGTGAAATATGCAATATCAAGAAATCAGGAAATTCTCCAGATCGAAAGAGTGAAGGCGCGTGAAGACTGAAAACGTGGGAATCGTTACAGGAGCCAAGCGAGTCGATCGATATTCAAATCAAAGGAGAAAATCGCTCGAATAGGAAAACTAGATGGCTAGCAAGACTCGTGAACTCGGAAGGACCGTTAGAACCCAGATTTCCAGTAAAGAACAGTAGCGTAGGGCCCGCGTGAGGTATGTATTCGTACGCAAATAACTGGTTTTCACGAAGTTCAGGCCGTCGAACTGCAAGTGCTCTCGTCCTTAGGGGGATAACCGTGCGCACCAATGAAGATAGCAAACGACTGTGCTAGCTGATGATTACGAACTTCTGGTGCGGATAAAGGATCACCGTACTTGTAACTACGATTTCACAGCCGATACGTCTTGGCTCAGTCGCCAAATGGATAAAATCGAATTTGTACCAGCAGAGGATGAAACAGCAAACGCATGGAGGAAAGTAAATTTGGAGAATTATACTCGATTCTAGAAATATGATGAAATTTAAACTGGCATATAAAATAGAATTCAAAGATAGAAGAATTTATTAATATTATATTACTATTGAACTGTAGAAGGAATGTAAATAATATTACAAAAACTCAGCAGATGCCTTCATAATAATTATTAGGTCAGAGGGCATGAAAAATAATGAATTTCATGATTTATGGTGTTCTCTGCGTGGCTCCGGGAAATGAAGGAAGGAAAAAGAATATACTTCAAGCAAATTTAAACCTTGTTCCGTACCCAGAAAGTGAATCCATGATTCATGATACGTCCGTGGTTGCAGAAATAGGGGGAATGTAAAAACGAGTAGAAAGAACAAGAAAAGGGAACACACAGTTCGGGTGAATTTAGAACTTACCCAGAATTTAGAACTAACCGCGGAGGACGGCTGTATTTTACGAGTTCTCACGGAAATGATAAAAAAGAAATTGGTAAACCGGGCAAAATATAAAAACTCGAAGCACATTCCATTTCACCTTTTCACAAATCGCGCTTTTTATAATTTCATCGATTCATGATTTCGGAGAAACACTGTTAAAATATTTTATCTTCCAGCATCATAAATCTCCGACTGCTTACGTTGCAGTCCCTGAACAGCTTTTAAATATTGTGTAGTCGGAAGGCGTTCACAGTGGAAAATAACGCGAAAGCGTTCGTGTATCGACCAGAAAAACTACCGAGAGGAGATAATGGGAGCGATGCCAACGTTTCTCCGCGTCTACTACAGATACGTTAATGGAGTATTTGTCGAAACAGGAAACGTAACGAAACCTGGATATGCGAGTAAGTGGGTTTAGATTAGAACAGACTGTGAAAGCCAGTGCTTGATAACAATTGGAATATGTTTAATTAGTTGATGAATTATTTCAATGAGTGAATTTTGTAAATTTTGTATTTATTTGTCGTGAAGTTTTTGCTTCGATAAAGAAGGGCTTCCAGGAAATATGTACACAATTTCTATTCCTATACGTATTTACAACAACGTACCGGTTTTAATACACCCGATAGCAAAATTTCGATATTGCGAAAACAAAAAAGTAACCGAAAAAACACAATCCTCGTATTTTCCATTGCTTGTTTCATAGTTCGAAACCACGTCGGTCTCGTTTGATTTTCAACGGGTTCAAAGCTGTTACAAATTCCTGTTGTTTTCACATCAGGTCAAGCTCCTATAGATTCACATAAAAAACGAATAAATCGTATACGTGAACGTCTTATCCATTATAAAAATCAAAACAACTTTATACCATTTAAATACAAGTTTTCATGTCCAATTTGCTTAATATTTTCGCTAACATCTAATCTTTCACAAAAAATAAAAGGGATCTCCTACGGAAAGAAACGATAGCGTGCTGTATCCTGAGAAAAATTTGAAAAACATGGGTGTCTCGTAAAAGAAGACTAGCAAGTAACTTCCAACGTGAGCAGTCGAAAGATCGCTATCGATCGTCAGAAGGGAAGAGAGAAAAATATAAGTTGGCTTGTGCATCGCGAGCCAGCATCGCATATGTCTGAACCCCGATGGGGTTCTTTTTGCTCCTCTTCCCGTACCGTCCCGGAGGAGAAGAGGAAAGTGGACGCGTGTAAGAAAGTGCAGAGCGGTCTGATGCGGCGAGGCGCACGCGGGCCCGTAATGTCCTGACGTGAGTAATCGAGTCGCGCAGCTGCTTTTACCGGAATCCGCCAACGCCAAGCAGTCTGGCCGCATCTCTGACTGAGCGAGTAGAGCTCGGGTCCCGGAGTCTTTCGTGGCATCCGGTTTGTGGTGCACAAGCATCTTTCACGATGGCCACGCTGCGGACCGTTCAATTTCGTAACGAACAAGAAGGAACGATGGGAGGCAAGCGGGGTAAGGGAACGGCGAATGATTTCATCCGCTTTGAACGTTTCGCTTCTCCTATTTCTGTTTCTATACCGAGCCGCACAAAATGAGATCGAGGAAACCGAATGGAATTTTAACCGGCTTTAATCAGAATTTTGCTCGCACATGGCAGGAGGTATGATAATTGAATATCAATCTTTTTATTTCGATTTCAACTCCTCTAATCTGGATCTGATGCACAACGACAAAAGGACGCGGATTATTTTTAATATTCATCATCTTTCTCCTACGATTCCTTCGCACAGGATTACCACACAATAGTTAGATTTCATAATATCCGACGTGCATATCGTAATTTAATATTTGCAAGGCTTCCAAGAACTCGGGATTAGTATGAATTCCCGACTGCGCGCATTGCAGATGATATAAAAAATTCTGAACTCTGTACCAAACATTCGTGTCTCTGTAGGAACTTACGGAGCCGAGTATCGACCGTTTCGAATTCGTGAACAGGATCGACTATGGAGCTCACGGGACCAAGGGGTATCGACATGCCGGAATTCGTGAATACAGTTGATTATCGGTCACGGGGGATCCTGCATCGAAAACGAACGGTTTCGGGAGACCAGGTGTATTTGAAAATCTAATATTAACAACCTCTGCGTCCGTGCATCTTAATATTAGCAATCTTGAATTCTATTAATCTCATAAAATAATGAAATAAAAAAAGGGACACGAACTAGTACTTCAAATTAAATACTAGAAAACGCCATTTATTCTGTATTATAAATGCGCGATAACTCAGGCAAAGTGAGTGTGGAAATTAGGTATACTATATAACTTCATTTCTCGAAAGTAACGTGTGATTCATATTCTTGAACGGTAACTAACGCGAGTGAATGAATGGACGAGCTTGAGATGAAAGAAAGGCCGGAGATGCTTCAAGACGCGATTTTACAGACCTGCCAAGAGTGAGAATTCGCTCTGGTCGCGGATTATTCATGGATTTTAAAGATGGAAAAACTGACGCCATTCTTTATTCAAGCTACGGTGTACTAGAGACAGTAAAACCAATTCTATTTTTCCCAGTTCTTATAAGAAAACGTATAAAAATCTCTAATAAAATCGAAAGCAGTACATAGATAATATCAAATAAAAAAGTATGTAGCTGCAAAAGATTGGCAGAAATACAGTTCTTTAAAACTTGTATAATAAAAAATTTCTCGTATGAAGCAAAATGTTCATCGAGCTGTTCTTTTCCAAGAAAATAATTCAACAGAGAATCAGTTCACATGATACAAGAAAAATAATATGAAATAATGAAAATAATTATACACTGGCTTACTTGTCATGTATCTTTTTCTGACGATCCTTATCCTTCTTTTTCCGCTTCGGTTTCAAGGCTGGATCGTATGCGTTTCCCTTCATTTGGAACTTTGCCCTCTGAACAGACAACGTTTTGCCCCTGATTTGCGAGTTATCTAACAGCTTTAACGCCAAATCCACCGATTCCACCTGAAAAAAAAAACAAAGCGAAGATTTAATTAAAAATAAAAAATAAGTCTATGTGAAAAATGTGATTAATTAGGGTAATTAATTTATCTTTCATTTAAGAAACTACACATTCATATTACATCTCTCTAACACTGAAATATATCGTGTTCTATGAAAATAATTTTTTCAACGCAGCTTGAGAACTCATGGTAATCGAGTACGACGAAAACGCGTGAGCTCGCTCCGCCACCAATTTACACTCGACGATATCAATTAATTCGTCCTCGTCACGTACAAATAAATCGACGTCGACTTTCAGACGGCTGCGATGATTTATGGAATCAGGGCATCGAGGATAGTGGACGCTGTTTTTTCATCTGCCACGTACCGCGGATAATTAACGGCTAATGGAAAAAAGTAGCCGCGATTCATACACATTCCGGCGAACGGTCCCTGCAATACTCCGCGAGTCATTCGTATGCATTGATAAAAAAGAGAATTTTGTTATATTCAATTTTAAGCCTGAATAAAGTAAAATTCTTTAACTGTTTCAAGCCCGATCTTTTAATATAAAATTTAAAAAATGAAAATTTTAAAGAAAATCATAAACACTATCGTGGATTAAATAAAATTATTTCATTAATATCTGACGTTTCCTCTGGTGTTATACAAGAGGAACAGAGAACAAAAATCATGCGTAAGAACTCTAATTCCACTTAATAAGACAAAGTCTCTCGCCTGCTCGGGATATCACGGTTAATTATTCGGTTAAACCAGATCGCCTCGTCCACAAGAAATTGTACCTATGGCTCCAGTAATTGGCCGTAATAGCGAGGAGAGCCGCCGCGCATTACCATGGACGTCACTCGCTGCATGCAAGAATATCTAGCTAGATACCTACTGAAAATAGCAAATACCGTTCCGTATCGCGGGATAGCTAGAACCGGTAGTTTCTTTGTCAGATTTATTTTCAAACTACGCACCGGTTCTAGTCTCGCGAGCGTCGGGACGCTTTTAACCGTGATTTCATATCGCATACGGGATACATGGTGACTCCAGCAAACAGACCATCGTGTCACGTTCCGCGAACGACGTACAGTTTCGCCTAAGACCCGTATTAACATGCTGCGTTCCGCTGCATACGCGAGATGCCGCGAATAAATTGGCCTCCACGTTGACGAAACAAATAGAGGAGACACCCAAGTGATAATTGAAGAATACTCCTTATTTTAAATTCTCTGTAATATCTCGCGACTAACAAGTGGCATCCTCCTACGCTATCCTGTATCCTACAATAATCCATCCACGTCTGCGTCTGTGACATTTAGTACTGACTAACTGCTTCGTTTGTATCTGATATTTTATTCATTATTCGATACGGTTATCTGTCTTCTAAAAGCTGCACGAGTGCCTTTGAAAACTCGTCTCGCAGAGGAATCGATGGCTCGTTTTCATTTTATTCAATTCGATTGAGATCTATCAATGCCTTATAACTTTACATAACGTTTGCCTGAATAGGAACGGGTATATACAATCTCCAGTATGTTGAGAAACGCGGACTTTAAATTCTTCATAGTTTTCATAAAATCATTACAATACTGGATATTCAACGAACCCGAAACTCACGGGTGAGACGACTTGTACTGAATAAAACCTAAGTACAAGTGTTTTACTGCCCGTGAAGGAGGACTCATTCAGAAGGAAACCATGGTCAAGATGATTGTAAAGAAAGAACGTCGACTGACTTCTAACACGTATCCCATTTTCCCGTGCGTGCTTACGACGTGTACCGACAAACAACTGAACTTTCACAATTGACGAGCCACCGGGCTGTTCAGGTACAGTTTCTCGGAATCTCGTCGAGTCACGATTTCCATGCTTTTTTGGCGAGTCTGTGTTCATCGCGGAAAGAGTCATACGTACGACGTGCCGCGAATGAGAAACGGATAACGCAAGCTGGCTAATAAACCGGCACGCAACAAACCAGCCGCACGAGACTCGATCGTTGATAAGCATCGTTTTGCAGGAAAATGATATTTATGCAGAGTCAACGATACGACCCAATTAAAGAAATTGAAATGCTGTATCTATGCTAATTTATCTCAACCTGTACCACGTGATAATTTGCTGAAACGATTTCTGCAGGATTTACTCGTTTCTTAATCACAGTTTAATGCTAGCTTTGATTCGCATCAGATACTTTATGCAATTATTAGAAATTTCAATGTGCAGAAGTGATAAATGCTGCATGTAATGTATAAAACAATTCAGAATATAAAACTGAATGGATATTTCAATTTTTAAATGATCAAAAAAATGTTTATGTAAAATCTTTTGAATTAATAAATATTTTATTCTCCATGACGATCTACAATTTAGATATTAGAGACCAGAACTAATTGATAGCAAGATGTCTTAAATGACTCGATTTAGGTGACTGTCCCCAACCGAAAAGTAATTTCATCAAGAGACTAAATATGTAGATCTAGTGGCGCCAAGTTAAGCGATGATGTAACGTTACGACACGAGTCTTGTAACAATGACCTAAAAAGTATTCTAGGGAATTATTCATTAAGTACTTTATAAGGTCAAAATATATTTCCCTTTTCTATTTTCTAATACAATACTGAATGGCTGAGTGAATATCTATAGTAATAAATTAACATTTAAATTAGAAAGGAATTTGCGATCGTTAAAATGAACACGACAGGCGTAATTGAAGTATTATTTTCTAGCGACCTTCGATGTCTCGGAAACAACGCGTGGAATGTGCTTTCAAATCGTGCATAAGTAACATTATTGGCCAACTGATTGTTCATTGATTCCGATCATGTAACGCAGATAAGAGGATGAGAATAACATCGATAGCATTCATGTAGATCACTATATGTATAAGTACGAATGATGTTAAACATAGCAACGTCATTACGTTAACTTTGAATAGGAAATTAGTTTAACAATAGTTATGAGATAATTACGTATAAAGAAACCTTTAAAAAAAAACCACAAATCTCTATCTCTTCGATAATAAAAGAAAATTTAAGGNGAATATTTCCTTCTATACTTTCTAGCACGTAGCTATTTATTATTAGCATTATTCTTCCGACGTCTGATTTCTTTTTAATTATAGGAAATGCGTTTTTCTAAGGTACATAAACTTTTAGGATTGACTGTATAGCCAATACATCCTTAAATAATAGCAGATATTGTAACACAAATCGATATAAATCGTTTTATATCGCCTCAAGCCTTTATCTATTATTTCTTGGAAATAACATTCTGACGAACCAAAAGGATTGATTCATCGGTACGTATAAAAACCAGAAGCTGCTCTATCATCCGACTGTGACAAACAGGAATCCGAACCGCGGTTATGGATCAACGAGACGATGAATCCCTACCCACCCACGCGATTGCGCACAGCCACAGGGAATATAATATCGGCGTGTCGACAGGGAAAAATCGCTGAATGAACCCACGCGCATTCACCCAGGATGCGCCTGTAACGTTTCTTCTGTTTCTCGCCTGTGCACGACGGGGTCTTTCGTTTTCACTTGGCAATAAGCGAACGTGAACCACAGCGTATGGCTCGCCGCCCACAGGACACGAACGGTCGTTTTATCGGCCCGTGGTTACAGCTGAGGCGTTAAAGTGGCAGCTACGGGACTATTTTTAGGATTCCAACAGGGTTGACATGACCAAAGAGGGAACGTTGCGCGCGGAGGTTGAACGCGACCCTGAAGCTCCCTGTACTCGACGGAGAGCCCCGAGTTCATGGACATAGGTGTGTGCATTTAACTATCGAGTGGTCTGAAGGTTGCCATTCAATGGTGTCGACCGTAGCTGCCAGCAATTTGATTTATGCAAGTGTTTATTCTCTCCGCTGACTGCCACGTATTTTTAGTCACAATTTCGTCCAACGTTACGTTAGAATAGAAGTTGTTGTGCTACACTAACGAAACCTGGTCCCAAATTCAATCGGGATAAATCTACCTCTTACCGTGCTCGTTCGTCAAATTGTTTTGTATGCAAATCAGGAGAAACGTATTTATGCCTGAGTTATATAAGTTAACATCCCGGTCATAGTATTGTTACATACGACTTTTTACTTCTGTCAGAGGATATATTGAGAAGAATGGACGTCACGAAAAATCGACCGAAGTCTTTCGGAAACGATGAAGTTACGAGAAAAGAGCCACGTGGGTGGCTTGTGAGTCACTGGAAACGACTATTACTTCTTCCTCGGTCGTTTGATTTATTACCGTTGAAACGAAAGCGATTTGTTCTTACATCTCTAAACGGACAGCGTGAATTGATACACGGATATTTAGTGCCCATTGCTCGACGAGTACAGGCAATTAAAGTATTAGAAAATTTATTCAGATGTACTTATTAAATGATATTAAACTGTGAAATTACAATTCTGATTGCAATCTTCTGATACTCAAGTAATAACAATTATACAATTTGTGTGACACGCAAGTTTACACATGACGAGTGATGCAAAATGTAAATGGTAAACGTGAATGATTTTAGATTCAAATGACGTACCAGCTCACGAGTAACGTTTATACGTCGTTGTGATATTTGCGAAATGCTCGCGTCTACTGTCGAATCAATATCTCGCGAACGTCGTTTCTTTGGACAGTATATTATCAAAAATTCTATACGCGTTCGCACTCCGTCATCGTCGAACGATACCAAATACACAATTCCGTTCGTTTCGAACAGAATCGCAAAAATAAGAGAGGAAAATCGTATAATTCGCGTGAAAGAGAACGTTTACGACGCGTCTGTTACGATTTACGATCGTGGAAACTGCTGATTAGCCGGCAAAAGAATTACGCCCGACAAGAAAGTATTTTCGAAAATAAATATTTGCCCCGGCTGCGCTGTACTGTCTGCAGCTCGACAAACTTTTCCACGTTTGTTTGCGAACAGCTCCCATAGCGAACTTTCAGATTCCCCTATGTAGTTCTTGAACTTCTCTACTTTTCATTTACCGGGAACGGGCGCTCTCG